TACATTTATTTATTGTGTGTGTGTGTGGCCAGCTCAGCCCACCAGGGGGCGGGGCTGGCTGGCATGTGGTGTTGGGGGATAGAACCGCGGTCCCTGTGCTTTGCCAAGCTTGTTTCAAGTAGGTGCTTTAGGCCACTGAGCCATCTCTCCAGCCCCTGTTTTTATTCTTTTTTTAAAACTGTTAAAAGATGAAATTCAAAAAGAAAAGAAAAAAATTTTAATAAATACCAAGGTTACATAAGTGAATGAATTAGAAACAGAGAAAATTAATTTTGTTGGTGACAATATTTCATAACCATGAAGTATATTTGCAAATATTAGTGCACTACAAGAACTAAAAACAACAAATTACAAAAGAAAAATTACCGTAAGAAAATACAATATGCTCCTTGACAGGTTTTTGTTTTGTTTTGTTTTTGTTTTTTGTTTTTTTTGGCAGAACCAGGGATTGAAATCAGAGCCGTGCACTGGCCAGGGAAGCACTTATTCTACTGAGCCATCTTCCTGGCCCCTCCTTGACAGTTTTAAAACTTCAACTCCCTTGGTATTTCAATAGATAATAATAAAAGCCTCAGGTTATTACTAAACAATATACATTGTAAAACCTTGACAAGCAACCTAGCATCACCAAGAAAAGCTCACCATTCATATGCCCTAGGGCAACTTCAATCAAGGACTTGGGGCCAGCCAAATAGCTCAGTGGATTAAAGCACCACTTAAGCAGATGCAAGGGCCTAAATTTGCAGGGGCCTGGGGTTCTATCCCCTGCCTGCAGTGCCGGCCTCACCCCCGGGGCACACTAAAACAGCAATTGAGACCTGTAATCCCAGCTTGTGGGAGGCTGAATTTAAGCGGAACACAAGCAGATCGTTAGGAGTCCAATCTACCTAGTGAGACACTGTAGACCCAGTACTAAAATAAAAAAAATAAAAAATAAAAAAATAAAAAAAATCATGGATATGACTACAACAGATGCGACAGTATAAAGGTCTGCGTGCTCCAAGCAACACTCGTATTAGAAAAGGAGGCCTTCAGCAAGACCACAGGCCACAAAGGTAGAAGAACTCTCAAGACTGTGATTAATGTCCTTACAAAAGAAACCCCAGACAGTGAGTTAGCGCCTTCCTCCACGTGAGCACCGCCAGAGGTGCCATCTACAAAGTGCACCCTCACCAGACACCACATATGCTAACATCTTCACAGTGCACTCTGTTCTAAGAGACCCAGCTCATGAGACTTCGTTAAGAGTAGCCCAAGTGGCTCAAGAGAGAGCTTCCAATTCAGTTGGTAGGGATTTATAAGTTTGGTGAAATATTACTTCCTTCAACCTTCAAATTGGCCAAATACAGCCTATGCAATACTAAAAACAGGTTGCTCCATTTAGCACGCACATCAAAAAATGCTATCAGTTCTAAATAATGCCATGCTTTCAAAGACTTGCAAGTGATTTCCAGAAGATGCATTCCTAAAAACATCAGCGAAAGTAGAAACAGCATATGTGCCAATCAAGAGTAGAACAGATCAGTAACTATTGGCATACTTATGACTGTAATACTACACAACAGGAAAAATGGATGATGGTATAATTTCAAAAGTATATTATATGGGGCCGGGGAGATGGCTCAGTAGAATAAGCGCTTCCCTGGCAAGTGCAAAGGTCTGAGTTCAATCCCCGGTTCCGCCAAAAAAAAAAAAAAAAAAATGTATATTATGAACAAAGGAGATAAAAAGAACATATATAACTGTCTATACAAAATAATGTTTTCTAGTGATACGTACTTAAGCTATTGAAATTATAAAGAAAAGAGGGGATCCTAAGAGTGGGTCATGAAAGCAGGGGCTGGGGAGGTCATCAGAAGTAGACAGAGGACTTGGAAGGCAGAATTTCCTGATTCTTTTGTTTTGTTTTGATTTTGTGGAACCAGGGATTGAACTCAGGCCCTTGCACTTGCCAGGGAAGCACTTATTCTACTGAGCCATCTCCCCAGCCCCTCCTGATTCTTTTGAATTTACAATATATGTAAAAGATGGAGCACTAGCCTAGCAAACCTGGGTACAATGCCCTGCACAGCAACGAAAAATAAGAAGAGGAATGCTAGCCCACACTTGTAAGTTCAGCACTCTGAAGACTGAGGAGGTTCCAAGTTTCATCCCAACTTGGGCACCACAGTAACTCAGCAAAACCCTGCCTCAAAATAAACAATTAAGCCAGGTATGGTAATGCATACTTGCAATCCCAACACTTGAGAGGCTAAAGCAAGAAGACCACCATGAATTTGAATTCAGCCTGGGCTACATAAAGTGAGTTTAAAGCCAGCCCACACTACATAGTAAGACCCTGTCTGAATAAACAAATAAAAATTAGAAATAAAAAGAGCCGCTAACAGAGCTCCATAAAATGGAAATGACTAAAGAGGAGTTTGTTTGTTTGTTTATTTATTTATTTATTTATTTATTGGCGGAATCAGGAATTGAACTCAGGCCCTTGCACTTGCCAGGCAAGCACTTATTCCACTGAGCAATCTCCCCGGCCCTAAAGAGGAGTTTGAGACTAACAGTGAACTGAAAAATCCAATCAACAAACAAGTTTTTTGCCAGCCAAAAAGTTATGCTGCTCTCTTACCTACTGCAAATTACAAACATCTATTTATAAAGAATAAACAATCAAAGAAAATAAAAACAAAAAAAAAAGAATAAATCATTACACAATCATTACATTTTCAAGAAGCATACCTCATTAAATTGCTGCAGCAAGACAGATGGCAAAAAATCCTGGGGGTCCAAATCTACAAGAGGCCCCGTCCAGTTGCTCTGAACAAAGAGCTGCAAACTGCTCACACCAAGCAGGAATATCAGCTGTTGTCTGCATATAAGAATGGGCAAAAAACAAACATGAACTACTACCACCATGCTATCTCAACAAACTAATTCATTGCAGTTCTACTACAACCTAGCAGTTTACTCCAAGTGCCACTTGGCTAGTGTGACTTTTTTGGGGGGAGGTACTGGGTATCAAACTGATGACCTTAAGCTTCCCAGGCAAGTGCCGTGCCACTGAGCTACATCCCCAGCCCTGGACAGCATGTTTATTTATGCACTGACTATCACTAGTGTCACTTAGGCAGTGCTGGATGTCTTAAAATAACATGCACAGCAAAATTATTAAATAAAATTGTCATTTTTATAGTTACCACTATGTTATAAAAATTAATGAAAAAATACGCAATTTTTGGTCAGCCTGTTTGGTTTTTGTTGTTGTTGTTTTAAAATATTTGGTACAGGGTCTTCTTACACAGCTTGGATCGAACCCCAGCCCCTGCATTTGCCTAAGCAGGCCCTTAGTCTGCTGAGCTATCTCGCCAGCCCTCGGCCTGTATTTAAATAACTGGACTGGTAAGTTTTTAAGAAAAAGGTATCCAGGCTCGGTGTGGAGGTACACACCTATAATCACAGCACTAGGGAAGCTGAGGCAGGAAAATTATTGAGAATTCAAGGCCACCCTGGATTACAAAATGAGCTCAAGGCCAGCCTGAACTGCACAGGAAGACCCTGTCTTAAAAACAAGAAAAAGATGTCAAACAAAATTATCCAGGAATGCTGGCACTTGCCTGTAAATCCCAGCACTCATGAGGCTGAGACAGGAGGATCACTGTGAATCCAAAGCCAGCATCCATCACATAGTAAGTTCAAGGCCAGCCTCAACTACATAGCTAGACCATTGTTTCAAAAAAAAAAGAGAGAGAGAAAAAAAACCACTAAGTCAACAATATGCAATGTATTAATTAGTGAAACTGTGCTAGTAATCGGTTTTGAAACTGTCTCATTGCCATTTGTTTCTCAACAAAATAAAAAAAAAAAAATTATAGACAATCCCTGAGCACAACCCAAAAAACAATTATGAAACAAAACAATTTAGATATGCAATGTCTAATATTAAAACAATGCACCACATGTAGCCCTTATTTAAGTTAAATGACATTTAAACTACAGACTTTCCTCATATCACCCATATTTCAAAGAGGCAAGATGGTCACAAGAGCCAAATGTGGCAGTGACTACCATGCTGAACAAAGCAGACCCAGGACCCCACCGCCACCACAGACAGCCCTCCTGCACAGTGCATTCAAGTTTGTTTCTCTATGAAATTGCAATTAAATTTCTACCTTTCTGTTTTGTCCAAATCTGCAGAGCAATCCAGGAATGTTACTAACTGCTTCTCCAGGTAGCTGTCAATCTTTTCTTCAGCCATTGTTGATAAATTTAGAATATTTTGAGTCACTGAATGAAAGAACACAGCCTCATAGTTCCCTTCGAACAGCAACTGTAAGAACGATTCACTCTCTGTAAAAAATAAATAAATAAAATTAGCCCACTAATCCAAAATAATTTTCACACTGTAAAGGATAACCTATTAGGTAAAAAACACTTTATTATGCAAAAAATGGTATATAATTAAAAAGCTTGCTGTACCTTAATGAAAGGCACAGAGAAAATCCCTCATTCTACAAACACCACTTTTTCTACTGTGGAGCAAAGCACACATAGGTCGCATCAAGAAATAGTATTTGTCAATAATAGACATTACTATCCTTCTGCTGGAAAATTCGAGAAGATTCTGAGAACAGAAAAATGACTGTCACCAGGCTCCTAGGACTTTTCACATTTTGGCCCCTCCCTCCCCCCCATGTTCTCCTTTATGAAAACACCTCAGACACTGCTCACTTACTGTTTCTTTAATACTCTGCATGCTTCAACCCTTGTGCACTTGTGATTTTTCCTGAACTCTTCTCCACTCTGTATTCGAAATCTGAAACTAGCACAAAGCTGACGTTCCATGAAACTTTTCTAGACCACCAAATTTTATAACATCAGGATTCGTACTTCCTGACACCTCCTATACACACACACACACACACACACACACCGTTACACTGTTATTTCTTTCTCCTGGATCCAGCCTTAATCTCACAAGCAAGGGTCCTTATGTCTGGTGGTAAATGTACTGTTTAACATTTTTCCAGTCAGGTAAACACATTCTTCACATTGACTTTCAACGTTACTCCCTTGTTTCAGCTTTTAACGCTAACCATGTGACTCTAAATAAATTAATCTACGTGGGCATCTTAATCTGCAATATGGGTTTACAAGCAGTGTCTACCTTACCTGACCATTATAGGGATTAGATCGCTAGATATATTTTCTTTTGCTTTGTCTGGAACTGGGACTCGAACTCAGGACATCGCGCTTACCAGGCCGGCCCTAAATAAAGGTTAAGAGCTTTAAGAGTAACTGTCACTGCCACTGTCACTATTCTCGAACCGGGGCAGCGAGAAGTTCTGGATGAAGACGAGCACGGAGCGTGAGAACGCCGCCCACCTTGTCAAGGGTTCAACATCCCAAAACCTAGACTTGGGAAAAGGCCGGGCAGAAGGACTGGTCGAGAGAGGGCCGCGAATCCTGCGTGCAGCCCGCGCCGCTCTCACCTGAGCCACACTCTCCGTCCTGCTTCCACCGCTGCCGCTCAGCCTCCGTAGAGAAGCCCCTGAGAACCGCCAGCTCCGGGGTCCACAGCACCCCGCACATCGTTGCAGACCAAGTTCCTAAAAGGGTCCCACAAGCGTAAGCAAAAAAAAAAAAAAAAAAAAGAAAGGAGACGTGTCTAAAGTCGCCGAAATGTAGAGATGACAGTTACCGTGAAGGCATCCACAGGGCTAGAAATCCATGTGCAGACACCGGCAAAAGGGGGAAGCCATGACAGCTGCGCGGGGCATCCTGGGAAAATACACACGCGCGGCTTCCGCCTAGGCAGCCAATCCGAGGCGAGATGCTGAGCACGCTCGGTGGCATGCCCCGCCCCGAGGTTCGCCCAGCGGGCCCGTGGGCGGAGCCTGGCTAGGGCGTCACGCCACCCGACGGAGCGGGGAAGGAGCTTGGGGGAGGACGTTCTGCAACAGGTCCTTGGGGAGCAGAGGCAGCTCACCACTGAGGCCTTGGCCGACCGCGGTGTTAGAGGACAATTTTGGATGAAAATCTTGACCTGATGAACATCCTAATCGTCTGCGGCAAGCGCGCCGTGGATTCTTCCTCGCGACTAAGTGGCATCTTTCTGACGTTGGGCGTGGTGGCGCATACCTGTGAACCCAGCCCTCAGGAGGCTGAAGTAGGAGGCTCTCTGACAGTTCGAGGCCAGCCTGGCTATACGGTGAGTTCAAGCTCAGCCTAAATTGCATAGCGAGATCGTGCCTGTAAAAATCAAAAAAATAAATAAAATTTTAGAAAGTACTTTAAAACTCTGTCTGGTTTTTATGCTGTCATTACATAAATCAGAAATCTGGCCGCTGGCGTAAGGAAGGTTGAACTGCAAACCCAAGAGTGGAAAAGAGAAAGCTGCAAGATGACAGATAAATCTAACCCTGGGTGTTAATGAACAGCTCTCTGAAAAATCCTGGACAGCACCTGACTTCAAAGACGACGCTAGATAAAATTTCCTTTTTATAGTAAATTAAATTTTCTGTTGTAGCCTAATTCTTTTTGAGACAAGGTTTTGCTCTGCGATTCAGGCTGGCCTCAAACTCACAATGATCCTTCTGCTTCAGCCTCTTGAGTGCTGGGATTACAATGTGCACCGCAATGCCTGGCTTGACCCTTAGGTCTTAACTCGCTTTGTTCCTCAGCACCCAGAGCGACTCTGGTCTTGGGAGGAATGAAGGACTCAACCCAACTCAGCCATGAAGAAGCCAGGCCTGGCTGGGAGCAGAGACAAGCTGATGCCCTGATGTCTTCATTCAGAGAAGTGATGAAAGGTCACGTGCTGCTGCTGCCTGGCCACCCCCTGGGTCCACTGGTTTCTTGAAGCAGAAGACCTAGATGCCTAGACTACTTGTTAGATGTTAAAGATGAATGTTTGTAAGGACAAACTGAGGCTACACCAGAGCTCCTCCTTTTTAAGTACTGTTCCACTGGTCATCACAGTGAATTTACAGTTTTCACAACAATTTGAGGTTTGTTGATTTGGTTTACATGTATTATGCCAGGCAATCATAGAGACCAACTTTCTTTATTAAAGTCCCTTCAGGCACAGTGAACTCCAATAATAAAGCAGGGGGAGGGGATGGTCTCAATTTAATTAAAAAAAGATAACCCAGCATAGCGGCACATACATGCTTATAATTCCAGTACTTGTGGGAGACTGAGGCAGGGGACTGATGTGACTTGGAGGCCAGCCTAAATTATAGTGAGACTGTGTCTTTAAAAAAAAACGTGTTTGTTTGAGGGTGGACAGAGCAGAGCGCTGGCCTACCATGTGCAAGGTGCTGGGTGCCTGTTTAATGACCAGCGCTGAAAAAAAAGTGAATGTAGGGACGGGGGATATGGCTCAGCGGCATGAGCACCTGCCTGGCAAGCACAAGGTCCTGAGTTCAATCCGCGGTACCACAGAAAGCAAGCAAGGAAGGAAAGAAAAGAAAGAGAAGAAAGAGTGAATGTTAATTTTGAGCAGAAAGTGCGATACCACTTTAACATTCAGTGAAGAGCGGGATGGTCAGATTGCTCAGAAAGACAGTGATAACCTAATCTCCGGCTGGAAGCGGAGAACAGCCAAGCATGCAGCAAAGCCAGGTCTCAGAATTCAAGACCCAGGGTCTAGCGACCCCTCCAGACTCCCGCACGGTGGCCGGGGTGCACCTGCCTGGCGGCAGCCCCACACCTGTCCCACACCCCAACCTTCAGTGACCTGTGTGCAGCAGTCCCAGTTATGAGTGTTCCACAGATGTTTCAGTGTAAACAGTTTACCCAGATTTTCTCATTGTTTTTTTAAAAAATGAGGCTTTCTCTACTCGGGTCAAACTGATTGCCTCCAAATCCTGGGCACCATTTTGGTATTTCTGTAGTAGTTGAAGAAATGTATAAAACATAGGGAATCTTTTTAGGGCTTGAAGTACCTGACTTCAAGTTCTCTTTGGCTTCACGGTTTGTGTTGAGAAGTCTACAGTAGGGCTGGGGATATAGCTCAGCGGCATAAGCGCCTGCCTGGCAAGCATAAGGCTCTGAGTTTGATCCCTGGTTAAATTAAAAAAAAAAAAAAAAAAAGGATGGGACTGCCAGATAGTTCAGCAGACCAAAGTGCCTGCTTAGGCAGAGCACAGCAGGGGTTCAATCCCCAGCTTGCCATGCTGGCCTGGCCCTGGGACATGCTGAGAAAGCGATTAAGAGTGGGAGTGGTGGCGCACGCCTGTAATCCCAGCACTTGGGAGGCTGAAAACAGGAGAATCACTATGAGTCTGATCTACATAGTGAGACCCTAGAGACCCTGTATTAAATACAAAAAAAAAAAAGAAAGAAAGAAGGGTCGGATGTAATTCTTTTTTTTTTTTTAATTGCATTTACTTAGAAGCATTCAGAATGTCAACAGAACTGTTGCAACTTTTTTTGCAATTACAGTGGTACTCAGTTAACAGAACAATTATTTCATATAAGCTGCATCAGACACAACTGAAGATGAAAAACTACCATCCCTTTATATAACTAACTTGTGTTGTACACCAACAAGAACGTGCTTTAAATTTCCCTGCCAATTTAAAACCCCCATACGGTACCAGACAAGGTTAGTGGCTATTGAGAATACCGCCAGGACATGGCTATCTAAAGACACATTCGGTAGCATGTGAACTATACCAAAAAAGACAATGTACAGATTAAAAACAAATCTTACACAGCCTTACATTTCAATTTTGTTTTTCTTCAAAAGGAGTGAGTTGTGTACAGGGGTGTTAAATGCTTAATAGACAAGAAAAAAAAATTGCACTAGAATCGACTTATTCATCATCATCCTCTTCTTCATCCTCCTCTTCCTTCTTTTTCTTGCTTTTTTCAGCCTTGATGACTCCCTTTTTTGCTGCATCAGGTTTTCCTTTAGCCCAGTAGGCAGCGATTTCGTTTTCATACTTTTCCTTCAGCTTAGCAGCCTTCTCGTATGGCTACTTGTCATCTGCTGCAGTATTATGCCACATTTCTCCAAGTTTCTTTGCAATATCACAAATGGAGAGCCCAGGATATTCTCTTTTGATTTCTGGGCAATAATAGAACAGAACATGAAGGCCAAAGGAGGCCTCTTGGGTGCATTGGGATCCTTGAACTTTTTTAAGTTTTTATTTCTCTTTCACAACAAGCCTTGTCTGCTTTTGCCATGTCTTCAAATTTTCTTTTTTCTTTGGTCTTCCACCTCTCTGAGCACTTCCTAGAAAACTCTGAGAAGTTAACAGAAGCATCTGGGTACTTCTTCTTGTGCTCCTCTCAGCAAGTTTGCACAAAGAATGCATAGGATGACATCTTGCCTCTCAACTTCTTAAGCTCTCCTTTGCCAGTCTTTGTTTGATTCAACGAACGAGGTACTGAGTCGCCCAGTGCCCGTCCAGCTCTCGCCCCGGCGCTGCCTCTAAGGAGCTCATCGTACTGCTGTCTGCTGTAATTCTAATGGGTTTTCCTTTATAGGTAATTTGTTTCTTTCTCTAGCCGGTTTTAATATTCTGTTCTGCTGGATTTTGGGAATCTTGATTATTATATGCC